GATGAAGTAGCGCCTGCAGGGATGCAGGGAGTATGGCAAAGAGACGCAGCGTCTCATTCCCTCGGGGAACCATGGTTAGATACGTAACCTAGAGACGTTCCCCTTCAGGAACTCGAGCTGCGTCGAAATCGCTTTGGGAATGAGAATACCCACTGTTCCCTCCACTAAATCCACTTGCGATCCCCACGACAACAGTCTGCGCTGTGCCTCGTAAACAGCGGGACCGCTGCCCGCGGGATCGCGAGCCTGGCCTCTCTCATCAAACACGGTCAGGCGAGAGCGGAGCGTGCGCAGCGAGAGCAGCTCGCAGTCATGACAATCAGCCCCCTCAAGAGCTGACCGTGCATGCTCCGCTCCCAAACAAACGACACACAAATCGTGTGTATCCCCCGCCGCCAGATATTTACTTTCTGGTGCTTACGTCACCCCGCTCGTGACGTCTCGCTACTCCATTGGACTGATTTGACATGTGCTTCAGAACGCGGTCACGCAGGGTCGTTCCCAAAGCGATTTCGACGCAGCTCGAGTTCCTGAAGGGGAACTGAAGAAGGATGGTAAACGCCTGAACAAGCCATCAGTAGTTGAGCACCCTGTACAGAAGCTGTTTCTGCTGCTTGAGACAGCTTGAACTTCTTGACATACACTTTGAGTTAAGCAATTCATACTATAATGCTTAATAAAATAATTTGTGACTAAAGTTGATATTAATAGTCACTTATGATTTGGTGGGAGTGTGAATGACCTTCAGTTATTTATTCGTTTGGGGTTTAGTATATCATTATAATATTGCTTGTTATATTTCTGTATTCAGTTGATAATGGTTATGTGTCTATTTAATTTAGAAATCATAATTTGCCCGTGTTAAGTTACTGTTCTTATAGAGACCTTTATTATGAAAGGGCGGCTTGCCAGACCTGCACGGAAGTCGCGCTGTCGTCTCGATTGCACATGGATGGAGATAAGGAACCATGCGGTCACGATGCTACGGAGTTAAATTAAGACATTAAGGTTTAATGATTAAATAGTGATGGAAAAATGAAGCTTTGCGAAGCACCGAGGCTTTCCCTCAACTGTATCGTAAAAAGGTTCATTACTCTAAGCTTTTCAAGACGGTGCACACTAACGACATCTTGTGGTCAAAAGGTGGAAAAAGCTGCCTTTGCGTCCCAGACGACCCAGCCATTTTTGGACTGTTTCAAATAATAAATTAGTTTGTGCTATGAAAACCTGTATAAAGCAAAGAAAATATGAAGTCTATATAAATAAGTCCATGTCAGTCATTGTATTACACAATATGAATAAATGAGTCTGTGAATAAATTTGTGGTAAAAATAGGCAAGGCTGTAGGCATATATAGGCTATGATTATCATAGAATGGCCAGTTAAAGTGTCTGTGAACCAGGAATTAATACAAAATGAACATGCACAACACTTTACATGCATGTATGCAAATATTTATTCATATTATGATTTATTATTTTCAAAGACGTGAGTGACACTTGAAACTGCGCAAGTGGTTCGCGTTATTTGAATCAGAATACGAAGCAGTCACATGGTTGTGTGTGAAAACAAAGCTTCGGACGTCACAGATCACGTGGTTTTGGCAAAACGAGCGACCCCTAGAGGACGCAGTGTCTCGTTCCCTACTCAGGGAACCATGGTTACATAAGTAACCTGAGACGTTTTTTTGATACAAGCTTCGAAGCCTCGGTGTCGAACGTCACATCACTATGATTAAAGGTTTCAAGGCATTTTAAAGTAATTTAACGGACAAAGGGTTAATATTTGTTGTTTTATTTTTGTTATTCTTGTATTTTTTGTCTTTTACTTTTACTGTACCTGATTGAAAGAGGCACAAGCTCTTACAGTGTGGTGTTGTGGTATTTTATTGTGGATACAAAGGAAGAAAATAAACACAAAGAGCCATATACAAACATCAGTGGAGGAGTCGATTTTCTTTAAATTCAACCGGCTACTACAAGGTGAGTGTTTATCACAGTATTTACTACTCATTGGAGAAAGTTGCCGCCTGGCTGGCCATGGTTCAGCTTTTTACGACTCTCATCTGGTTTGTGTGATGTTCGGAAATGCCTTACAATTAACAGACAGATTTATTCGTTCACTCTCCTGTGATGAGTTTGGTCTTTCATCTCTCTGTCCTCTACACCAGTACTGATCCTGATCAGACTCAGTAGCTCCTCTGATAGTGAGAGTGTCTCTGTTTACAGTGTAACGCTCAGATGACTGTAACATTACACTGTCTGTGCCTTTATACCACTCATATCTCCAGTTACTGT